CCCTCCTCCCTCCCTCAGCGCCGAGCTGCTGGAGCTGGGAGACAGTCTCATGAAGCTGGGGAACATAACGACTCCATACGAGGTGGACCCGCTCCACTCGTACAGCCATAGTGCACTAACAGGTCCTTACACCACTGAACCTGCCTACAGCGACTGCAGCCATAGACACGACCAGAACTCTCCACATGTGCTCGAACGCGTCACGGATCCCCGTTACGATGGCAGAGAGCAGAGTTACTGCCACTCCTCTGCTTACTCAGCCCAGCCGGAGCACACTGCCTCCTCCTGTGCACTCGAACGCACCCAGAACGTCACACATACCGGTCCGTATGACCGGGAACACGTGTCCACGTACGACGGCACCCCCAAACCAGACTGCTCTTACCACCCCTGCCCCGAGCGCAGCAGCCCCTACACAGCAGAGCGTCCCTGCACCTACACTCTCCAGCACCCCCCGAGGTCAGAATCCAAACCACCGGTCCAGTTGTGCCTCCCGTCACCAGAGCTCGAGCCAGAGCTGCTGCTTTCGCCGGTCATTCCACCAGGAGGTCCCTTCACCCCCAGTGACCCTCAGAGTCTGGAGACTTTGGATCCTACAGCCAGCGCTCAGCTGCTGGACAACATCATGGCCTGGTTCAACAACAACATCAACCCCCAAAACAACCCCCAGAACCTGGCTCTCATCCCCTCACCGCCCACCACAGAAACAGACTCCTCCCCCGACATGCACACCGAGACAGAGAGCCACACCTCCAGGGACACGGCCCCGGCCCTGATCTGGCAGCCCCTGGAGGGCGAGCCAGAAGACGACCGAGGAGCGGTTGATGCCCCGTCAGGTGCTGAGGGTCTGGAGAGCAGAGAGGTRGGGAGCAGTGACACTGGAGGGGACGGCGTGGACGCAGGGTGTGTGGCTGACCTGTCGCTGGACGAAGCTCACACACACCCCTGTCCCACAGAGACCGACGTGGACCCCGTCCTTCATTTAGGGGGCGGGTCACCTGAGGAGTGGGAGGAGCAAGAACACTTGGTGTGACAGTGGCGGAAGAAGGAAAAGACAGGTCTGGAGCGAGAACAGGAGATTAAATTGTGGACAGAGGAGAGTGTTTACTGTATGTCTCATAMTGTATCTACAGACGGAGAAATCTGCACACTGTCTGCTAAACATGATGTCACAGGTTGATTATTTTAAGTGCTTTTTGTCTGCTTTAGAAACAGACGACTTCTTTAAAACTGAGTGTTTAAAACTGGTTCTGTCAACAGAAGGCTATTGATATAACTTAAGATGCCTCATGGTTTATTTTGTTATTTATTCTCCTCACTCGTATATTTATCTTCTCAGCTTAAGGTTGAAGGGTTTTGGTGCTGAAATCCAAACTTGCCTCGTACCAGAATGCTTGATTGGCACACCGACCCAAACACGAAGCCGATAAGAGCTCCAGGAGCTGGAAAAAAATACCAAAAAAAAAACCAAGAACCTGAAACGATTGCTGTAGCCTCGGAGCCTGATCAGCGTGCCGTACAATCAGAGGGCCTCCTTCTGAACTCTGTGCCTGTTTCGTTAGTGCTAACACTACTGATCACTAAAACTTATAAAGGTTTACAGCGTGTTGTAATTCACAACAAGTGTGGAACGTGTGTCTTTTTTCCCCAGACAGCTCAGAAGAGTCGGTGCTGGTTTAAATGGTGGTTTTTGCAGCTAAATGCACCACATTCTACTCTCAAATGCTCTGAGGTGACCATCTGTAGAGCAGTATTTAACTCTCTTTGGCTTTTAATTGTGCAAAACTCTTAACACAGTTAGTTCAGTAGAAAATGTCACAATAATCAACTTTTGCAGCTAATATATTTGTAGAAAGTAAGTCTGAAACTTCTGACCTAGCATACCTTGACGGATTGCTATATGGCCCGCTGCTTTCCGTGCCACAGATTTTAATGACGATTACTGAGAAGGAAAGGAGCTACAGACATTTTGGTCAAACCTCGTAAATGACATTTCACACGATAGCAAAACTGTTGAGCATGACTCAACTTCTACCACACCAAATTTAATCTCAGTATCTGTGATATTAATCACGCTACAGCCATCTTAGTGTTTGATAACATTGAGCTGTGRTGGCCATCTTGAATTGCACTGACTTTAAAAGTCAATGAGTTGTAGATGTTCAACCAGTGGTGGACACAACTAACCAAAACGGTATTTTCACTAACCACCTGTCTGCTAAACAAGAAGCTTAGCTCTACTAAAGCTGAACAGGAGAAAAATTAGATGTAGCTAATGCTAATCAGAATTATAGCTCTATTTTGTGATACTTCCAGTTAACTCCTTTCAGAATAAAAGCATTTATTTGATCATGTTTGTATTTTTATAAACACAACAAATACTTTACCACCTCTATACATAGTCATTTTAAAAATTCATTATTGTTAAATGTATTATTTCTTTTTTGTTTCTCTTAGTTTGGAGTTAGCTGCTAAAGGCGCTACATGCTACACACGCTGACACACATCCAGCACTGCATGTAAGAGGGGATAGTTTTTATTTATTTTGCATAAATGGTCTAAAATAGAAGTTTGCACACTTGTGAATTTTTTGTGGACTTAAAATTTGTGTAAGCTTGAGTCCACTAATGATTCCCAAAGTTAGTAAAAAGCTAATKTACTGAATGAAAAGCTAGTTCCGCTATTAGCTGGTTAGCGGACCTGTGCTCACCACGGTGTTCGTCCAATAGTTATTGTTTGGGAATTTCAGAAAAATTCATTTGGTGGTTTGAGGTGTTTTGCTAATAATAGACAAATAAACACAGATACTGATGAAAATATCACCTCTCACCTTTGGCGGCAAACAATGAGCAAAATATGTCAACCGTTTCCAAAAAAAAAAAAAAAAATCAAATACTATTCCTCAGAACAGCACAAGCCCAAATTTGCATCTAGACGTCTTTTTAGAAAAAGAAAWTTTTTTTTATTTCTGTTTATAGAGCACTTTGAACAGGCTGAGTTTCTGATTAAAACAGTTTATCTACAAGTTTCTACACGTTGAGGCATTAAGTCAGTTTTCACAGTAATGTAACGGTCAATACAGAGTTCTATTTTCAAAAAAAAATACAAAGTTTAAAATATATAAATRCTTTCAGCTTGATTTGTTTTGTATTAAATCATGAAGGTTTAGGCCTCTACGTTTATGCAGGCAGTCTGTTTGGCTGCTTGGGTTAACAGTTTTGCACATTAAATCTGAGACAAAGTTATTTAAATACTCTAAATCATAACAGATTTAGGGTTTTGTTGAACACGGTGGATCATATCTTTCCCACAGCRGATGGCTGGAACAGTGTGTTGTTGACAGGATGTAGTTTATATTCTTTAATTCCTCACTGTAGAGATGACCTCCTTTATAGTTCCGACCAGAGTTTTTTGGTCTGTGTGCCTTTTTTTTGTTTTTTGGTTTGTTTATATTTATTAAAAGTCTTTTTAAACTTGGTAAAGTCTGGAAGCTGATTGAGAACACGCCGATTTATTACGCAGCTTTTTTTTGTTCTACATTTCATCTGAAGGAAGTTTCACTCAAACAAAACGTTTGAATGTTCAGATTTAGTTGAACTTTGATTTTTRAGTGTCCTGATGCATCTCAGTAAYCCAGGTAAAAAATCAAAAAGAAAAAAATTCTATAGGTCTTCTGGACGGGTTCTCTAATGAAACGTTTCGTCTCTCCTCCAAGAGACTTCTTCAGTCTCCTTCTTTCAGTTGCCTGAAACTCTCAGACTGAAGAAGTCTCTTGGAGGAGAGACGAAACGTTTCATTAGAGAAGAACCCGTCCAGAAGACCTATACAATTTTTTCTTTTTGATTTTTGAGGATCTCGGCACACAATTCTTCATTTGTCCCTCACTCAGACTGAAGTTTTAAATCTTAGTCCTGCTATAAGATTTACAGAACAATAAAACACTGCCTTCTGTGGTGAGGAATCATTTAGTAAAACGGAGTGTTTTAATCAAACTTGTGGCTAAAAGCTTTAATAAAGTTGAAACAGCTCCCTCTAGTGGGGAATTTTTGCTTGTATCAATAATTTGAGCTTTGACCCTAAAATCCACACTTTTTCCTCTTTAATTTAAAGAGTTACCTTGTTTTATCTTTAATGTAGCTTAACAACAAAAGCACTGAGTGAAGTTTTTTTGTTTTATTTTGCACCAGCATATTGCTGATGTTCTGCTCCGATCAAGTGGATTTATGTTTCCACTTATAAGAAGTGGTCTGATYATGTTTGGTTATCTGTCCTGTGCCATGTTTAGGCTCCACACATTATGTTTATGATTTACGGCTATCAATAACAACAAAAAAAAGTTTGCACTCTCATTGATTATACTTGATACATTCCCAGCCGGGTTAAAGAAATGGTTTGATGTGTGGAAAAATCTGAATTATACAAGAGTCAGTGCAGAGTTTACTCAATAAAACAACTCAAAACTTGTTGCTTTGTGTGTGTTTTTAATAAAACCTTCATCTGGATTACATCTAGAAAAAAAATACCAGGTTAGCTACAGGAATACATTAAAGATACAAACGTTTGACCAGAAATTTGATTTTAATACTGTATTGTGCAGGAGTCCTKAGTAATCATTATTTTAGTGATATTTTTTTTCTGAAAAAGAACCAGACTTTTGTAACTTTTTAAAATGCTCTTAAGCAGTAATTATCTGGTGAGAAGATGGAGGATCTTCTCAATATTAATGACAATATTCTCAACAGGTCAGGTTTGTGTAATAGAAAATTGAAAAGCTGAAAGTTAATATTCATTAGATGTTGAAATATTAATGCATGAATTTCAAGAGTTTGTATTATTTAAAGCAATAATTTGAAATAAGAAAACAAGTTAAACGTGTAAAAAGGCTGCATATAGAAGAACTGCAGCTGAAATGGGGAGAAAAAAGTTCCAATCAGCAAAGACAGGCTGACATTGGAATGTGTAAAAA